TATATATATATATTATATGTATATCTCGTCTCTCTCTCTCTCAAAGGGTGTCCCGATCTTCCCGGCAGTTTTGCTCACGACTAGAACACTAACCGGCCTGGAGACGATGACCAGACCACTGGACCCTCAAAGCACAACGCTCCCAGGCTCCTGGGCTCCCTGACAGAGGGCAGTCTCATGTTCCGGTGCCTTTCTGGTGCTAGGACTCGGAGAAGGCCCTGTTCCTGAAGGAGCTGCTCTCGAAAAGTACAGGCCGGATGGTTGGGTTCGGGGGGTTCTAAAAGCGTCAAGGCCATCGCAGACAGCGGAAAGGAACCCTTCAACTGCTTCGGAGAGCCTTTGCAGGAAAGTTAGGCACAGGAGCACTTGTCCATGGCTTCTTTCGGCAAGATTGGCGAAGAGGAGGGCAAGTGCTTCAAGGGCCGGATCAAATCATACCAGCCGGGCAACGGCTATGGCTTCATCGAGTGCCCAGAGACATACCAGGACTTTGGCCGTGATGTGTACTTGAGCCGACAGCAGCTGGAGCAATTGCGCATTACCACAATTCCATCCAGCACGGATGTCACATTCAAGGTTTACGTCCGTGATGGCAAGCCACAGGCATACGATTTGGAAGTGCTAAGCCATCCAAGGGATGGGAGAGGTTGCGGCTACAGCGCCCCTTCCGTGGGAGGCTCCAACACTCTCGGTCCCGAGGCAGGGTTCGAGCTCCGGGCCAAGCAATGCGAGCACGCGCTGAATCGCTTTGCAGACTGCTTGCGGACTTTGTCTGAGAGCCTGGATTTGCACGGCCTAGACCAGCAATCTCGCCGGGCACTGCAGGAAGCGGATGCAGTGCTACGTTGCGAGGAGTGCCGTCGGGATGAGCAGACGCAAGGCTCGAAGATCCTGCTTCTCTTAGAGCAGGCACGACACAAATGGGACGACAGGAACAACCTGTGTCACCGAGCCCTCAGAAACGCGCTGAAGCAACGACTTGAGGCGCCAGCGGAGCCTGTCGAGATGATGATATCAAGGCTGCGGTTCACACAAGCCAGCCACAGCAAGAGGTTTCTGCACGGCCCCCATGCTGGACAGCGCATTGAGTCTCTGACAAGGCAGCTGCTTCACGGAGAGACTGCTTTGGACGATCCTTCCATGCTGTTGAATGTCGTGTACTTCCACGGCTCGTACCGTTCCCTCAACAACCGGCACTTGACAGCCATCGTGAAGTACGCCGAGGAAATGGAGACACAGAATCGATTGCCCAAGAAGTGCCGTGTCCGCGTTTGGCCGTTGGTTCGCAGCTTGGCTTTCAGCTCAGCTCATGGATTTGTCAGCTCGTCTCACCAGACCCGTCGTTATATGATGATGGTATAAGTAATCATTAATCATTTCCGTTATGGTTATCATGTTCATCAATACTGAAGAAGGTTATGTTGCTACTGATAGAGATGTGTTGGTCCTTCTGTTTCTCCGAGGTGGCTTGCGCATGATTTTTGAGGATGGCTCGGAACAGGAAGTTATCCGCAAGTTTCTCCGCTCCAACGACAGTGTAAGTGACGGCCGCAGTATCACATGCAAGCGGCGAGCAGGACAGCAGACGGCCGTAAACCAAGAAGTGTGCGTCCACCTTTCCAACTTGGATGCGAAAGTGGAAGAGCCTGAACTCTACTGGCACCTTAGAGAAGGCTTGCAGGACTTTAACAACTACAAGGTGACGATCGCGCGGCGTCCGGATGGACGCTCCAACTGCCACGGATGGGTGATGCTGGAGAACCTAGAGGAGGCAGAGAGGCTGCTCAAGGCGGATGTGCCGCCACTGAGAGGTCGGTGCCTGAAGCTGCGATTGGACAATGTCTCCGCCTCAAAGCTGCGAGGCTCTGCAGGCGGCGGGTGGGTGCGCTGCAGGAACTGCCAAGAAGCGTGTGCTCCTCTTCTCGATGTGCTGTTGGTGGAAGATGTACGGCTTCGGCGAGATGCGGTCTCTGCCAGGCACTTCGATGAGGCACCCACATTCTTTTGTATCGGGAAGGAAGACTCCTTGCAAAACTGCGACGTGATTTCCCCGCACCCCGACTCAGCCGAGATGTCATTCAAGCTTTCCCTCATTAGATGCAAGTGTCAGATGGATCTCGGCAACATACAGAAGGCTTCCCGCATGCAGGGGAATGTGGGGGAGCTCTTAGGCGAGCGGGTCGTCCACTTCAAGTGTGCATCCCTTCTCCTAGAGCTCTCCGACCGCCAAGATCTTCTCTTGGAGGTGCGAAAGTGGCAGCACCCGGGTCGCCCAGAAGTATCCTTTATGCCGCTTATGCCCTTTTGCCTGGTCTCCTTCGTCCTTAAACCCCGACTCAGGTACTTGGCGCAAGCGACGGGTCGGGAGTCTCCGTACCGCCTGAGTCAGCTGACCGTGTCGGAAGCCATCGACAGCCTCGGACTGAGTCTAAACTCGAAGGTGCCAGAGACAAACACCCATCGCCATGCGCGCGTCGTTCCGAAGAGGTCGGTCAGAGCGTAGACGCTCCGAGATTCGAGGGCATTCTTTGTGCCACAGAACGACGAAGTCGAGTCGTGGCCTTTTTTTATATCGGCGAGGGTCGCCTTCGGCATGTATCTTATCCACGCGTGACAGGCTGTGGCCGTCCCTGGAAGGTACATGCCGTCGTTCATCAGGGGAGAACAAGAACAGTGACCGATACGACTCGCCTTGTGGTACATCTCTAGCAGACTCTAGCCTCTAGCATGCATAGCAAACTCCAAACGTCATGGAAGTTGTGATGATCACGAGAACACAGGTTGTTACACATGTGTTGACGGTGGTGATGTCGTCGTTGTACTCCTCCTCCTCGTCGCCGTCGGTCGTCGGTCGTGGTTGTGATTGTGGTGGCTGCGGGGGTGGTGGCGCCAGCCGTCGCATGAAGAGCGGGAATGAGAGACGCTACGCAAGCCGAGATCTGCAGTGATCAGCCCCAGCCCAGCTGCGCCTTTTTTGCTGCCTCTCACAGGCGCCGACTCCTCGCGCTGGCGTCTGCTGCTCCGGGCGCTGGAGACCTTCGGCGAGGCAAGGAAGGAGCCTTCGGCTTCGGCTTGACGCGGACAAACCAGTGGGTCCAGATGGGTCCATGGCCAGACGCATATAGACGAGGTATGTAAGTAGTGTCACTACCGGCGTCCAGGTTTTGTTGCGAACAGGCTCTCAGCAGTCCAAACCTCAAGTCTGGCTTTGCGGCTTTTTGACCTTGAGTGAAACTTGCGTCCAGGTGGAACTGCTGCAGGAGCTGCTGCTGTCAGCAGGCTCCGTCTCGCAGAAAGCAGAGACTGAAGCTTGGACATTGGGGTGTCTGGAGTCGCGTGCAGCCTGTAGAAACCTAATCCCGAAGTAGTGTAAAGCCGACGCCGTCGCCCTCTACTATGACTTCTTGTTACCTAGCATTTTGATAGAGTGGAGTATCCGCTGCGTTTGTTAGAAGCACCTTTATTCCCGGAAACCCCGACAGTCACGCCGTAGATCCCGAACCTCAATCCTGCTGAGAAACTTATTCCTGCGTTACCCATATAAGGAGTATACCCGAATTCCTATGGTTTAGGCGACTTGGGGTTTTGCCCATCAGCCAAGTGTTTCAGCCGAGAGTTCAGCAAGACATTCCTTCAAGCCTTGGCCGAAGAAGTCCCCATTACCCTAAATCCACCCCTTAAAACCCCTAAACCCTAAATCCTAAATCCTAAACCCTTAAAGCCCCCAAGAAAGCCCCCTTCTCGAAGCCCCGAGACCTCCGGAGGGCCCCAGCCGCCGCAGCGAGCGGCTCTGTGGCTCAGCCTCGCGCGAGCGCTGCGCCGGAGCCTGGGCCACAGCTCGCTTTGTTTTGTTGACGGTAGGGGGGGGGGGGGTTGGGGTGTAAGATGGTTTTAGGGTTCAGGGGCCTTTGCAGGTTTTCGGTTTCAATTTCGGGGCTTTCGGTTTCCAGTTTTAGATTGCCTCGGTGTTTCATGCATTGTTTTCTTCGGCTTTTAGGGTTCTTTGTGGTTGGAGGTGACTGTATCCCAAGCTACGAAGACCTCGAAAGCCCCAATGCACAATGCTCTATCGTGTATTACGTCGACTTGCGAATGACCGGTACAGGGGACGCATGCCATGACACTCGTGACGAGCGTTCTAGATTCTGGATTCTAGTCGACCGAATTCTCTAGTCACCGCATCACAAGTTTGCGAGACATCGACAAACAACCTCGAGATTCAGCAGTTTGAAGGGCTACGATTTCCGGCCGCTTCGAAGCCAGAAAATGCTCGAAGGTCTGAATCGCCAGCCGGAAGAGGCCGCGTGTCGGGGTACGAAGTTTGCGGTGATCTTGTTGGGTAGTTTCGAGATATGGCAGTTTCAAGACTGAGTCTAATCACGATGTTACCATGGCGGAGACCCGTCCCAGGCGAAACGCTTTCAGCGAAGTCGGCTCGTCCGAGCCATGGGCGACGAGGCCGCAGCTTCGGCATCCACGCAGTGGGTGCCCTGGCGACAAGTCGAAGAGGCTCCGCGGAACTGCCAGTGACCCGAATCCATTGCGACTTACACTAAGAAATGCAACAGCACTGCAGCAATGCTCGCAATCTACTGACCCCAAGCTCCTCAAGTGCGACTGGAGGTTCGAAACTGGTGGGTTCCGGAAGTGAGACAAAAAGCCCCGGCTTTTGGGGTGAAGTGGGGTCCTCGCGGGCACTTTCTTGGTGTTGCCATTCAATTTGGGTTCATAGCTCCGGTTTTGAGGGTCGGAATCCTTGCTCCAAAGACGAAGACCTTGAGGGGAGCAAAGGTTTCGGGGTGAGGGGAGAAGGGATGGAGCCACACCCGCAACACCGAAATCCAAGTTGCAAACCCTAGTAACCTTACTTACCCTACCTACACCGAAATCTCAAACTTGCATTGATTCTCCACCGAGGCGTCCCTTGCATCGGCTCTCAGCGCCTTGATCGCTTTTGCGGTGCTCGGGGGCGACGAAGGTGGTGAGGAGGCACGGAGCAGACCGAAGCCGAAGCGGTTCGCAGTCTAGGGGGTTTGGTTTGTGTAAGCCCCGACCCCGACACGACGCAAGCCCAGACACTCCCCCCGAACCCTAAACTGCACAGCCCTTAAACTCCACAATCTACCACACACACACACACACACACAGAGACAGACCGACACCGAGAGCAAAGCATCGGTTCTTTGTACCGCCAGGACATGCCTATGCTGGATTCGGCGCCCTGGGCGTTTAGGGCAGCTTTTTTTGTGCAGCCGCGGGAAGTTGGGAGTTTTTGCTTCAGGGTTGAGATCCTATTACTAGGGACTTTCGGGGAGCATTGTGGCTACTAGTTGTGCCGACCCCTCTGTTATGCTTCAAGGAGTCAGGGTGGGTTCAAGCGTCAGAAAGAGAATGAGAAAAGGCTGGGCGCATCAGCAGAGTGTCCAGCATCGATGTCTGCGAATGTGATAGGGTGCCGATAGGCCCGACCAAGCAAAACGAGCATGCACTGATGCATGTGCGTACACGTGGATGGATGCATGCATGCTGAATACTTGTCAACAGCCCAACAACGTGAATGTACAGAGGTTTGCAAGGGGTGTCTTTGCCGATGGTTTTTACGCAGTGCTCATTCGGCTCCCAGGTGTTTCAAGTCAGCACAAGGGTGAAGCTGCCCGGTCGCACTGGTCTTAAACCCCGAAGGTCTAAGCGCCCCACGCCTCATTTCAGCCCCGACGGTCTAAACCTCCGCATGCTTCAACGGTATGTCAAGCCGTTGACATCCCTGGACTAACCAAGCTCTTCGATTCGATTCGTTCTTGCACTGAGTGTGTGCGGAGCGGCGAGTCTAATCTGAGACGATATTGATGTTGTTGTAAAGGGCGAGGATGATGCTGCACACCACGACGAAGACGACTACGAAGGCATTGGCGATGATTGACGAGGATGGCCATGATGCTGATCATGGTCATGGGGATGATGAGGATCATCAGGATGATGGTGGCGATGATGATGAGGATGACGATGATGATGGTGGTGATGACGATGAGGATGATGATGGTGATGGTGATGATGATGGTGATGGTGATGATGATGAGGATGAGGATGATGATGCTGATGGTGGTGGCGATGATTGTGATGATGATGAGGAGGATGAGGCTGATGATGATGGTGACACTGGTGATGACGACGAAGGTGATAGTGTTTTATTGCCATGCTTCCCCTCTTGATTCGTCGATCTACCTATCTTGCAAGACCAAACTGGGAAAGCAACACACTTCACAAAGAGGTACATTTGCAGAACCACACCAGCTTAGACAAGCGCTGGCAAGGTCTCTGGCAGCGCTGCCAACGCCCTTGGAATCGGCACCCAATCCTCTTCGCCGCCGACCCGTCTTCGGTCGCACTCGGGCACGGCCAGTGGCAGAGGAGCGTCCTGTGAATACTATGATGCCCTCACTGTAACGCTTGTATGTACCTTTCAATCGGACCTGGATCAGCCTTGTAGCTAGAATTTTAAGCTTTGTGCGGGAATCATCTCACAGATGGGGAGTCTTGTCGATCCTGGCATTTCGTGCCTGTTCATAGAAATCCCACGCCCTGCGCACACCCTAGATCCGCAAGTTGGTATTCATCTTTTTTCAACATCTGCTGCAGTCCTTTGCTGAGAGGCTCCGAGAGAAGTTCTTCTCCTCTGCGCCTTCTGCAACACGACGGAGTCCGCAGAGAGCCTCAGAGGCTCGGAAGCCAAGCAGGGACAAGGGCGGGCGGTGGAGGGGCTTAGACGGGCTTGGGGTTCAGGGGTCCAGCCCGAAACCCCTGAGCTGGGCAGGCAGTAACCCGTGCTGCCCACGCTGCGGTGCGGAGTTGCCGGGGTCTTAGCAAAGTGACAGATGAATGCAGCGTTGGGAGATTGGGATCCTTTTCTTTGATGCCGAGTTTTGTAGGCCCCAGGAGGATGTCAATGTCCTGCCAAACTCCAGTCCGATACGCGGAGCAAAGCTACAGGCGTCTCTCGATGTGTCTGGTCTTTGGAGGCTTTCGGCGGACCTGTCGGTACCGCATCTCCAGTCCCTGCGCTATCCTGCAGCCAAGCGCGGGCGGTGGTTGCGCCAGCCGCAGGCGCAGCATGTGTGGTAAACCTACTTCGTTTCAGGGCTTGGGATCCGCTTAGGCTTGCGGGCGGAACTGAACCTGAAATCCATAACTGCACACCCCCACACCTCTAGACTTTCCACCCTTAACAACGCCAAGCAAGCCGCGCAGAGTTTTTGAAGACAAGAAGCAAGCCAGAGGCATCTCTGGAAGCAGGGCGGGCAAAGCAAAGCGAGTTGCGAGCACTTACCCGGTGTAATCCCTCAGACAGAGCCTAACCAACCCGTGACTCTGAAGCGAAATACGGAATTGAGTGTTCAACAGTTGCGCGCCAGGACTTCATGAGTCTGGTAGTGAAGCTGCGACACTTGGCTGCAGGTGTTAAATGCAGGGATCAAATGTCATATGGATCCCAGACAGGGGCCACCGGTGACCGATTCAAAGAGCCCCTGGCCACGGCATTGTTGCCAGGGGCCATTGATTGGCGGCAGCTTTAGAGCTTCGGGTTTAAGAGGCATAAGAGAGTTACAGATTCCACCTTGCAGGTACACAACACTCTTCAAAGAAATACAGTGCTTCCGTTGCTGCCTTGGTTTTAGTAGGGTTTACGGCTCGTGTGATAAATCAGCCATTGAATCATCCAACCCCATCTTGCGCTGCCAGTTGCACATGCTCTGACATAATGTGCAGTGGAAGATCTCATGGCTTTGTCGTAACCTGACACCATGACACATAGCTTGAAATATCATGCGGGCCTGCAGTACCATATGGTGTCGTTTATGCCGCATAAGTTCTGGTGCTTTATGTCGTGCCTTGGCATGTGCACAGAGGCGTGCGCTGCTATAGCCTGCTAGCGAGGGCGATGAACCGGCATGCACGAACAAGCATTCGCGACATAGGTGAACCTGCATGGAGGAGGTAATGCAGCGCGGCATTCCGAGCAGAGGCATGTATGAATGAATGTATGTATGTATGTATGTATGTATGTATGTATGTATGTATGTATGTGTATGTATATGTATATTATATGTGTATGTATCTGTATATGTACGTGTATGCGCATGTGTATGTTTATATGTATATGTACACGTCTATGTATATTTTTTGTACATGTACATGTAAATATGTTTTTGTATATGTATGTGTGTGTGTATGTATGCATGTATGCATGCATGCATGCATGTGTATGTATACGTATACATATATGTAGGTGTATGTGTATGTGCATGCGTATGTATGCGTCCGTGTCTGTGTCCGTGTCTATGGCCGTGTCTTTGTATGCGAATGTGCACTTCTGTGAGTGCGTATAAATATAGGTAAAGCTCCGTGAGCATGTTTGACACTTTCAGAACCAGCGACATGCTTGCAGGGGCACGTCTGGTCTCTTCGGCCCCTGCCACAGCGCTGGGCTTGCTGGACGGACGAGGGCACCGTAGTCCCCAACCCCTAAACTCCACAACGATGACTCTGACGTTGACACTGACGATGACTTTGATGATGACGATGATGGTAGTGATGATCTTGATGACGATGCTGACGATGATGACCGTTGTGTTCATACCGAACATGGTGACGATGGTGACTGCAACGACAATGATGGGGCTGGCCTTTCATGCTGCTGCTGATGCTGCCGCCGGTCAGTCTGGAGCCTCACGGGTTTTGGCCACGCTGAGAGATTTTGCCAGGTCTTGGAGCCATGGGACCCCAACGCTTGACGCAGTGATCACCGGATACCTGTAAGCCTGCCAAAATGAACATCAACTTCACGTTTCAATGCAGAGTGACTTCGGTCAACAATCGTTTCAAGCTCATGGAGCTGATTCGAATGAACGATCAAGGTGAGAGATGCATTCAGTATGGTGGATCGCATCTTGACGGGAAGTTTCAAGCCAATGCTTGATGATCTCTCCTCCGGGGCTGCTGTGCTCAGCGACAGCAGAATCATTTAAACACAATCAAATCAACAGAAGTCGCAACAAGACGTTAGGTGGCGTTACAGATGCCATTGTCCCCGAAGCGGAGTGCACTGAATCTGCAGACTTCAATTCTGCGTCAACGGACATATGGACTTTCACTCATGCGCGTCCTGAGAAAGGATAGCTTGCGCAGACCCGAGTTTCTTGGAGCAAACATCTCGATCCAGCAGCACATGACTCCATCACAACATGTCTTGAAACATGATGAGATAAATTCAATACCAGCAGGGTTGAACGACAGCATCGTCCGGGTCTCGCCGAGGTCAGTGAGGTCATTGCCTAACATAGGGGCCTAAATAATTACCTGTACTATTTGGGAGGTTCTTTATAATGATCATGGTATAATGGGCCCCAAACCTCGCTTTAGACTTGAATCTTGTCTGTCTAGGCTGAGCGTTTAAAGATCTGCCGTAGGAAGGTTCAAGTAGATGATTTGGAAACTTCATCAATAATATATTCCGTTAATCTCTACTAAGTCCTAGTAAGTCAAGTGGGCCTATGCCGACAACTTAAAACTCTACCTACCTGCCCCAACCCGCAAACCGAAGCCCTTCAAATTCCTTAAAATGCAGGAGCCGGGCGACTCCCAGCCGTCACTGGGGCGGCCAAGTGCGGAGGCGCGATGTTGAAGCTCTTTGAAGGAACGGTTCGAAACGTTTTTGAGTGCTCTGAAGGGTGCTTGCTGCTGGTGGTGTGTTCGGGGTTTGTGGCTTGGTGTTACAGGGTGTTTCGCAGGTTCTAGGCATGAAATGGGGGAAGCTTTGGGGCTCCTCTGCCGCGAGGTGTCGTCCCTCCTGAGCACGGCCGTTCTTTGCCTCTGCCTGGGTTGCTCCAAACTGGGCCTTTCCAGTTTGGCCAAGGCTGGCGATGCTGGGGCCCAGATGAAGCCCAAACCCCGCAATCAAACTAACTAAGTCAAAGAAAGGCCGGATGCACAATCTCCACATCATAGCCTGGAATGTCGTATTGGCCGAGTGCCGAACCCGAAACGGAAGTCCCGTCAGGATCTTGCGACTTTCTTCCCTCAAGACCTGGATGCACCGAGGACCGGGGAATCTTCGAATAAATGGTTTGAGGTTCAGACCTGGCAAGATCAAAAGCTTAAGGCTTAGTCTTCTCAGGATTTGATTTAGGGTTCAAGGCTCCATAGAGCGGGTTCGGAACGAGCTGTCCCAGTCCCAGTCCCAGTCGCTTTGGGCAGGATACCGGCGAGCTGGGAGGCACGGACCGTTCTCCCCTGTTTGCAAAACGTTGCATCCAACAGTTCAAGCTACCACAAGCCGGGAGCTTTGGTCCATTTCCAGTGTCCGCATCGCGTGGTCTACTGTTGCATGCTACAGCACATGGTGCTGTACGGCGCAGTGCGGGACAGCAGTGTCAGGTGTTGTCCATGCTTTCGAGTAGGCACAGGTGCAATCGATGTTGGAATATCATACTGTAGCATCTTGAGATCTTCTGGCTTCACTTTGATCCCTGAGCGAACCTCAAGCTCAAGCCCCTGAAATCTCTCTCAACATCCGCAAGCGACCAGTCTTCCACATAGCCGTCCAAGTCCGAAAACTTGAGACAAAAGGCCCCAAGACCCTCTGAAACCCCACCATCTGAGCATGAACCCAAGACACCCTTAAACCTCCCACCAGGCCCCGAACGAGCCTTGACCCAAGCAATCTAAATCTTCACGCCCTTAAGCACCAAAACGCTATGGCCCAAAACCCCGGAATCCCTAATACTAATGCCCTACAAATGATGCAAAGCCCCTTTCAAAAGCACCGACAACCTCCCAAAAGGCTCCAAAACCTGGAGCTCGAAGTTTAGAGTCCCAGAGGCCCCGGAGCCTCTGGGGGCTCTGCTGCGCTGTCCGGACTTCCGGGCCGCCCTGAGCGGCGAGGCCGAGCGAAAGCCTAAGGATGAGGATCCTTTACAATGAAAGGTTCAGGGCTTCCGGATTTCTAGGGTTTCTGTTAACCCGTTTATAGACTCTTTTGCTTCTGCTAACCGTTTTACCCTAGGAGTCATCCCGTTCCAGGGTTCCAGCATCCTCCTGCAGCTACCTCTAATCCCCAAAGCCAGGTGTACCGGCGTATGCATTGAGGCATACCGCAGTGTAGTATGATGTATAGCATAGCACACAAGTAGTACTGTAAATCTTTGGATTCTTCGCCCCGCTGCCAGTCTGCCACGCCCTTGGCGAAGCGCCGCCGCGGCGAAGTGACGTGTCTGGCAAGAGGAGCGGTCATGTCTCAGACCTCGGACGCTTAGAACAGGAGCTATAGGTCTGAGCAGGATTCCCTTTCACCCGCGAACGAATATAGCACAGTGTACTCCAAAGCCTTGTGCAGCATCTACCCCTGGACTGTGACAAAAATCTTACACTGTCAAGACATCCCCAAAATTTGCACCATGGCCTTGACCCGAGCCTAGCCCTAGCCTGCGTTCAACCTGGGAGCCACCACACCAACCCCAAACCCTGGCGCTCTTGGAGACAGCCTTGAGGCCACGGCGCCAGCGCAGCCTCTTCAGGCACTAACGGGGCTTGGATCGCCGCGTTGGTCTGCGTCTTCAAGTTCCTCACCAGCGCCACTACCATCATCACTACCATCTTCCATCATCGCCACCATCAGACAAACAGGCATGCATCGGTAGTTAATCCTTACGACGGATGCCAGCAGCCTCCAATCTCGGCTTGTCTACGCGGGTAGTACTTCCGGGCCTCTGACAGAAATCATCGTAACAAGACTTCAAGCACCCCACGAAGAAGCTAAGAACCGCATCCTTGGAGAATGCTGATTCCGAACCCTACAAATGCGAGATTCTAATTCCCGAAGCTGCCCTTCCAGATAGTGGCTTTGAGCTCCCAGCAGTTGACGAAGATGGTTGACGAAGCGTGCCACAGCTCGCAAGCCAAGCACTCTCTGTATGCTTTCCTGGAGTATCTACAGAGCATCGCATGGCACAAGTCGTTATGGAATGACATGCGTGTTGCACTTTGTCCTTATCCCGTTATCCCTAAGTCCAACGCACAGAATGCTGAGGTGTAACTTTGCCACCTCCACTGCTGGAGGTGTCGCGTGGCCGATGCCATCCTAGAACGTCCCCACTTCTCCGTCGGCCTACATCCTGAGTTTACATGTGAGATGGAGCCTACATCGTGAACTTGTAGAGCATGGGAGCGCAGTGGCGATGTGACACGCAGATGCCAGCTGTCTTCTTTCCGCACCGCAGCCAAGGCAACTTTCAGCGCCAGCTCAAGCCTACAACGGCTCCTCAGCGTTTGCAGCCTGACAGAATGTTTAGGCAGGTCCTGTACGAACCCAAGACGAAAACTGCTCAGGATTTGGGCCCTGAGGGCTCGAGGGTTATCCTGCAGGGATGAATCGCTCTGCCAATGTGGGGTCTTGGCTCCAAGAAAGTATTGTACAACGAACGAAGGGAATCCTGGAATCCTAGAACTCCTAATTGAGAAGGCAGTTGCCTCACAAATCCTCTGAGAAAGCAAGGCATGCTGGCTCCCTCCTGTCAGGGCCTGAGAAGATGCTTGCGCACAGGGTCTCATGGGGTCTCGCTTTTTTTGCATCTGAGTTTTTCTGGATTCCGTGCTGTTTTTGCAGCGCTGCTCAGGCCTGCGAACTCTTGGCGAAACTGTTGTCCACCTGTCTGTATCTCTCTCATCCCCACTTATCAATCCCTCCAACCCCTCCCTTCCCATTCCTGCCTTCCTACCTTTCTGCCTGCCTGTGTATGCCTGGGAGACTTTGGCAACAGCTAAGTGAGTTGTGACCCCATATGCCGGCCACCTAGCCGCACGCGGTTTTTAGTGTTAAGTGGCTTGCACCTTCGCGAAAGACAGGCGCAGACGATGTCTTCTTGACCGTGGACCGGAACTTGTACCTCAACCTGCTTGAACGCTACTCGCGAAGCGCCGCCTGGCTGAAACTGTGGCAGTGCCTTATTGGTCTGCGACGCTTTGGCCAGAACTGTGGTGTTGCGTCATCGCAGAAGGCGGTGCTTCATCATGTCACTATCCTCGAGGCTCGGGCAGCCAGCCTTTGTCAGCTGCTCCTGACCGGCACCCTGGCTGAAACTGCGAAGCCGATGTGGGATTTCGCTACGGGTTGCGGGTTACGTTATTCCTCCCGGAAGCCTTCAAAACGGTGCAGGAACCTTGAAGTCGAAGATGCGGCTTTTGTTGCCGAAGCTTCTGCCGGTCATGGTTCTCCACGAGAACGTCGACAGCCTGCGTCCGTTGTGTAAGATCTTGGACGAGGACAGCCTTAGCTGCGCATCACACTGCACACCCCGGTCTCTGCGCCCTGTCGGTTATGGATTGTGCAGGAGTAGCCGGAAAAAAGGGGTTTAAACAAGAAAGCTCTCCACTTCAACTTCAAGAAACTTCAAAGCCCCCAAAAACGCTTCTGACGCCCCGGAGCCGCAGGAATCCCTACCCTCGGTCTTCACGCCGAATCTCCCCTTCGTCCTCTTCGAGATCGCTTCGCTTCCCGTGACGCAGCTGTAAAGAGCTATCCTTGTAAGTCCTTGTTGCTTAGGTAGGATCAACCCGTCGGCACCAACAAGTGTTCTGTAAACCTTACTTACCTACGAGCCGGCTTTGCGTGTTTTCGAAAGTCTTGCCCGCTACTTACCGGCTCAAGCCTGGCGTTGCAACTGGGCCTTGTTAACACGATGGAAGGAGAGTCTTCCTGGGAAGACTTCTCCGACATCCCGTCGTGAAGTGCGTTTCTTCTCTACAACTGCCTTCAGGTCTTGCAACTCCTGCTGGAGGGCTGAAAGCTTCGCGTCCTGCAGAACCACGCTTTGCTGGATGGCCAAGGCCATTCGCAAAGCGTGTTTTCACAGGGTGAAAATCTTCCAGCCCTCCAGCAGGAGTTGCAAGACCTGAAAGCAGTTGTGGAGAAGAAGCGAGCGGCACGACGACCAAAAGGGTGGCTATGAGAATTCGGGTTGGAATTCAAAGAGTAGCTGGCATGGCCGGAGAAACAGGAAAGGATATCCCCAAGGCAGCCCCGCACGATTTGAAGGGGCCTGGTTACAGCTGTAACGAGGCCCCTTCAAATCATGCGGTTGGTGTCGCCAGGAAGTCTTATCGTATTTTGCATGGATGCTCGAATCGCGACGCACATATCGCTCAGCTGCTGAGATTGAAAAGTGCACGGAGCTGCTGCATGGTGTTGGGACACTTGAAAATGCGTGATGTCTGTCTGCAGGCAGTCTTTCACACATGTGGGCGGTGATGTATACCCGAGTTATAACCTTCTTTACGTTTGAAGTTTAGAATCTGTGTTGTTCGCAATTTGTAGCATCATGTTCCCCAGCAACCTATTACACCATTCAGGTTCCTAAGCTGACTAAAACCCTAGAATCGCCCTTACAAAAGCCATATCGTTCTAGTTCAACTATCCGGAAACAAAAAAAAATTTCTAAACCCTAAGCCCTATGAACCTAAGCCCTCCCCCAGCCCCGGTTGAAATCCGGTTCAACTAAACCCTAAACCCTATAAACCTGAGCCCTCCCCCCAGCCCCGGTTGAAATCCCTCAACCCTATGAACCCTAAGCTCCCTCCCCAAGTTTCGGTTGAAATTTGGATTTCAAGTCAAAGGCCACCCGGGCCGAAAAAGCCTTGTCCTTCCTCATCAGCGGCATCTACAAAGGATCCGCCTCTTGGCTGCATTAAATGGGACTTCGGGGGCGTTTTTTAGGGCTTTGGGGAGTTTGGGTTTGGGGGGATTTGGGGAGGTTCGGGGTGCGGCTTGGGTTTGGGGTTTGGCGCTGCATTTTAAGAGTAAGCTTGGGTTCAGAAACGCCTGAAGCCTCCAGACACCCTTGCGCGCCTGGAGGCCTAGAGCCATTGCTGTCAGCACTACCCCACATCATCAAGCATTCAACATATTGCTCTTTGCTACGGATGGTTTAGCATCACGAGGCAACTTGCTGGTGACTCTACCCATTCATCCTTCAGTGTATCATCGGCTGTCATGAGAGATGTCAGCTCCGCTTTTGCTCTTTTGGTGCCTTTTAAGCAGCGCAAGGTGAGCGCCGAGAGCCTCAGCGCTGCGTTCCTGGGCAAGGCCTTGGTCCTCCTCCTCTGGGAGTCCGCGAGGCTGGGCCTTGGGTCCTTGGGTTTGGGGTGTGAAGCGGTTCGGAGGTTTAGGGAGCTTTTCAGGGTTTGGGTTTGTTGGTAAGGTGGGGTTATACGCGGGTTTAACGAGGTACGGTACCTGGAATGTGGATTCACAGAAATACAATTGCGACTTATTCCCTCAAGACGTGCGAATTAGCGACCACGGGGTACCTCCGCAGCCTTGATCTTCAATGGCACGTTTGGATCTCGAGTTGTGCTCTCTGTGCTTGCCACTCCTGAAACCCTCGCGCCGCAAGACATCCGAAGCGTGGATCCCGGCGTTTGTATCTTCTCCCAAGGCTGGGTGACCAGCGACAGGAACGCCTTCGCCGTACTTTGGCCGTGCTGACAAACATCTCGCAGGCCCGACTTGAGTTGCTTCACGGTTGGGCTTCTAGTTGTGTGTTAGCCTGTTCTAAGCTGTTCTGCTCACCTCATGTACTGCTAGAATCGCATATGTGTTGCTAGCACGCACATCGTTTGTGCTCGTCGTTTCTGTAAACGTTCCGCCCGTTCGGGCACGAGTTAACATTCGCTGTGCTGTTTCTGCATTTGTGCCGTTTGCGCACACTCTCTCTTCGTGTCATGTTCTTTTCTTTTGTTCTGTTCTTCTTCAAACCGACTATTCTGCGCCGCTTGCCTGGGACCTATTCCAGTCAGACTGGCATATTCATTGCGATTGATTGTGTATTTATTCTAGCGTTGTGATTTTGCAAGTGCGGTTAGTTGCAGCATGTTTCATTGAGATACGGCCGTTTCGGCAATCCCTGCCCCTGTGTTTGTGCGACTTTTTCTGCCGACTGATCCACAGCTTCTTGGTGTTTTGGTGATGTGTTAGGGCAGAAGCCTAAAAGCCCTCCACGACCAAAATTCCGAATGGACCCTAAGATCCTTAAGGTGCCTGCTTGTTGATCTAAGCTGCAGCACAGTGGTAGTGGTATTAGATGCTTTGCAAAAGACCAGCCAACCAGGTTAGCAGACACTCAGCAACACCGAAGCCTTAAATCGGGCACCCTGCAGTGGACACTGAAGCCTCAAGCCCCGACGAGGGGCCGACGCCCTCTTCTTCTAAACCGTAAACCCTCAGAGCTATGCCCTATACTCCCTGATCCCTTGTCCCCTGTGCAAACCCCCTTGCCCGTGGAGGCTTTGCAGGCCCTCCAGGCCCGGCTGGGGCCTGGAAGCGCGGCGTTGCAGGCGCACGCTGGGAGCAAGGGAGCATTGGGGGCTTCCAGGGTCTCTGGAGCTTTGGGACTTAGGAGTTGGAGTTTTTCGGGTCTGGTGATTCGAGTAGTTCAAGGCTTTCGGGATGAATGGTTTGGGCGCTCAGGGATCATGCTTGAGGATTCTGCAGCACTTGAGGGTTATTTCGGGTTTTGGAGCTTCCTGTAACAACTGCACCCGCTGAAGCAGCACACAAAATTAAGCAGAACCCAGGTTAGAACGGAATGCAGATCGACATCTGGGTTAGTTAAGTCGCTGCCCTCCCCAAAACGACTAGGTTCTGCTTTGAGCAACGTGCCGCTTCAGTGCTTGCGGCTTCCTTGCGCACTGCAAGAGCTGAAGTAAGCCAATTGTCGAAACGGAATTGCTAGCTGCTAGCTAGAAGATGGGGCTCATTTCAGAGCAAGGCACCTTCTTGTTGTCTAGGGCCTGGGGGTTGAGGCTCTTGGGTCTCTCTGGACCTGGCAATCCTGAGCATCGTAACAGAATCCAGCCATCTTCCCTAGGGAAACGACCCTTCAAGCACGCTTCAGTCGGTATTCGTCGTCTGTGGAGGACCGGAAACGCCCAGAGCCTTCGCTGGAGCGGAGTGCCAAAAAGCGGAAAGCAGGGGAGAAGGACGGCTCTTGCTTGGGAGTTTCCCAAGAGGTCCAGGGTTTGGGTCGCAGGGGTTTTTGATGCCGGGAACTCCCAGCGTGGTCCTAGCATGAAGACGACCGCTTCTGTCAGGGGGGGGGGGGGGGGGNNGGGGCAACAAATTCGCTTTGAACCTCCATCGCCTGAAACAGCAGATCCTGAAACCCCTAAAGCCCGAAAGAGTTAGAATTCCTCAAGAGCATCTGCGAAGGAGACGAAGGTGATCGACATAGCCGGAGATGGAGGCAGTGTTCTTTACCTTAGGACGTCGAGGTGTTCTCAGCACATTTCATGACGAATATGTAGGGGCGGGGTTAAAGACTTTGGTTTCGAGGTCGACCGGCAGCTGTCGTTGCACGATCACTACCTCCATGACTGATGTCGATCTGCACTGTCGGCGTAGTGACTTTGCGTCACACGCTTAGGCGGACGTAGGTTTCGAAGATGTTCGGAGACTCTGGCCCTGTGCGAGGGACCTGTCCAGAAGTACTAGAAATCCTGGATGCTCAGCCGCAGAGATCCTGTGGTTCCTCAGTGACTCAGGGCTCACGGTCTGATGATGTCTGGGTTCAGGAAGGTTCAGGGTCTAGGGCTTCAGGGTTGAGGAGGATTCAAGCCAAGCCGGCTACCCCGGCTACCACATGGCCAAATCAGTTGGCAATCCTAGCACTCCTGACAGATGCAACAGAACATGGGAATTGACTTTGCTACTTTTCGGGGCCCTGCTGCTGTTGCTTGTGCTGAAGTTTGTGGGCGGGTTTGACTAGTCTTCTGGCCTTGTGCCTGCTACGAGCATGCTGGTCTAAGTTTTACGTAATCTTTGTAACTGCTGCTGCTGAGGACGGCTAGTTCATCTGTCTCCCATTGGCTCTAAGCAGTTATCCGCAATCTCAACTTCAACTGTAAGCCATAAGTCCTGCACGCGAATCCTTCTCCCCTCAGCCGTTGAGGCCCCCAAGCCGCAAATCCCAAGCTCTTCTTCCTGAGCTCAGGAGCGCCACTTCCTGCATGTCCTGGACATCCTGGGCATCCTGCTCGACCCGCGCTCACCCAAATGGCAGGCGAGACGCCAAGAACCCCAGAAACGCGCCGGTGTTTCGTGGAATCATCTAAACTGGGGCTCCGAACTCGGGTCCGAGGTAAGGGCCTGTCACCTGTAGACCAGGGAAAAGCTTTTTGCATGTGATCAGAGCCTGACTTGAACCTCCTATCTAGGTAAATCTTTTGGGTCTAGGTGTTTAAGTTTCAGGGGTTTGGGGGTTTAAGTTTCGGGGCGTATAGGCTTTGGGGATGTCATGGCCCGATGAGGGAAGAGATGATAAAGACCTCTACCATCATGGACCGTCGTTTTTTTCTTATTTGGGGAAGTGCCAGTGCCTCTTCATGTTGTGCTTGTCACGGCCAGAAGCGTTCTCTGGGAGGAGTACTGCGACCTGCTGTCTGACCCCTTCGTGCGCGTCCGTGGAGACCTTCAAGAGGCGGGGAAGAGCATGCCCGGGGCCGCTTCTCTTGCTGCCAATCCGTCAGACCTAAAGCCTGAACCCTAAACCCTATATAAAGCCTAAATCCATCTAAACCCCAAGCTGTTTATTCTGAACCCTGATTAGATCTGTAGTCCCAAACCGACCCTTGAAGCATCCAGGAAGCGACCAGCCCGGACATGGCGCGCTTCTGCCGAATGGTCTCGCTGCTCTTGGCGCCTTGGCTTGCCAGGGTTCTTCAGGGGGCAGAGTTGGGGGGGGGGGGGTGCGGGACTTTCGGCGTCGAGGGTAGTGCTCGTATATGAGAGTTCCATTAAGATTCCGGGCTTTTCGATGAGTGTCCAGGTTTTCCTTTCTGTTCTTGCCCTCAGCCGAGGCTACCTGAAGCCTCACAGAGACCCACACATCCCAAAACCCACTACAGAAGCCTGAAGACGACAAGTAACCTACTCTGATTCCTTTGGGCCCCTACCTTGCTGAGCCTAAGATGAAGCGCCTCGCAAGCCCAAAGGGGTTCTCGTGGTACTGCAGTTTTTGTGGTGCCTGTTTCCACAACTACAATAGCAATACTTGACCTGATTACTACGATTCTTGCAAACGCTCTTGTCATCCTGGTCATTATTGCTTTTTTGTTTCCCCGCCCACGTTTGCTGTGTTGACCTACTCTACTGTTACAGGTTTAGTTTCCCTAAGCCCCAAACCCCAAATCCCTTAAACCCGAAACCCCAAACCCGAAAAACCCAAACCCCAAACCCTACAAACCCAAACCCGAAAAACCCGAAATCCCTACTCCATCCTTACAGCCCCCAAAGAGCCTGAACCCCAAGCCCGAGAAAACCCTGAAATCCCTACCCGAAGAGCCTGAACTCCAGGAGCTGCCGGGGGATCACCTCCAGCGCTTCGCTCCAAAGGTCTTCGAGCTCCTGCGCCTCGGCCTCCGAACTTCGGGGGGAGGCTGCCAGGAAGGGGGTTTAAGGGTTGAGGGTTTAGGGGGTCTAGAGGGGGTTTAGGGAGGTGTTATGGGGTTTAAGGGTTGAGGGCATTTGGGAGCATATAAATAATAGAGAGGGTTTCGGGGCCGAGGGTTAAGGCTTTGGGGTCGTGTGGTCTTAGAGGTTTAGCTCACTTAATTTAGGGTTTGTGGGGTGCTACAGAGTTTAATAGAAGTCCGTGGGGCCGTAGGGTTTAACAACAAGGACCTAAAGAGCTTCACCTCCCTGTTCATCATGATGATAGTGGTGGTGGTGGTGGTCCAACCATGGTTATGGCCGCGACAAACGCGCCTAATAGTATTGTATGATCATTCTGGATATCAGTGCTGCCATTTTTTGTCTGCTTCTTGTATCAGTTTATGTGCCTCGGGGGCTTGCCTGCCCTCCCTCTTCTGCCCAGGCAAAAGGCCACGGCGCAGTCCTCGCAGCATCCGGTGGCTCTGCTTGTGCAAGCCATCCTTTCGGTTGCTGAATTTAAGGCAGGCGCAGGCATTCCCCGCTAGACTGTGTTGGGGTCTTACTCGGCTGTTACTCGGGCATGCTTGTACATTCTTCATGCTGAGGTGCAAAAGAACCTACTGTAGTTTGAAGACATACTGTCTAAGCCCAAAACTCCCAGCCCACTTTTGCACTTAAAACAACAACACAACGCGACAGCCTCAAGCCAGAAGGTCATCCTTCCCCAAACGAAGACCGCAAAAGGTGGGATGCAGGTAGGTCGGATTACAGATCCATCCCACTACTTGAGCCTTTTGACAAACAGAGGGAGTGCAAGCCGCGTTAACAGGAGAGCGTCGACTGCTGGCGACACTATGTGGCCGCCGTGGGCGTCGCGCAGCTGGGGCTTTGCAACATACGATTCGAGGCCCCAAAAAGGACAGAGGGTGGGTTGACGGCTTAGTGTTGAGGTTGGAGGTTCAGGGCCGTTTAGGGTTGAGGGTACAGGGTCCGGCTCACCCTAATTCTGTGATGAGACTGACAGTCACACGAGAAGACGCTGGCGATGTTCTCAAGCGTCATCGCAAACACACGGTTTCGTGTATCCGATGTCCAGCAAGAAGTCAAAACGAGCTCACAGTGGTGGTGGGGAAGCCGGAGCCTTCAGATAAGTACAGTCTTTTGTATCGGACACCACAACAAAAGCTGTCGACAGCGGTAACAACACTGTTGCCGACGACACGCGCGGGACTCAGAAAAGCCACAATAAAGTTGTTTCCAAATTTTTCTTCCTGCAACAAGGACTGCCCAAGATCCTCTGCCAACTTGTAGGCCCTTTAAGCCTTACAAGTTCCGTACTAAGGAGGCTGAAGCCCCTGCTTCCTGCAGTCATTTCGGAGCTGCTGCGGCTTGGGGCGCAGCTGTGCCTTTGCTTCGGTTTCAGTCGGTGAGGAGTTAGCAGGACTTGGGGCGAAAGGCGTTTAGTGTAGGAGTTGGTAAGTTTGCCCTGCAGAGTGTTCCAGCCAGTTTTGCTGTGCAACTAACATGCGGTTGACCCTGTGTGGATCAGAGGTGCTTTCTTTTGGCATGCATGCAGTGACAGAAAGCTGGACCTTCGACTTGTCTGAGTCTTATGCGCAGTACACAACAAAGCAGCAATCTTTGGTGCTGCCGCCAGGTAGCGTTGGATGCTCCTGAAAGCACGCGCAGCACCAGTCTTGCGTGTTGATACTGTGCTTTCAAACTCCCTTGCGTGTCGCAAGCAGTTTAGGGTCTAGACATTGATCCACGGCTTGAACTTCTACGAATTCATGCACCTCATGCACAACAGTCGCGTGCCCCCCTTCCCTGGTCTTGAACCCTTACCTGCCTTTGCGAGCGTGCCAAACATGCTCCTATAGTTCCACGGAGCCCGGTACAGCCAGTGCCAGAACAAGCGTTGCAGTTTTCATGATTCGCTAAGTTCGTTCCTATCACTATCCTTCCCTCCTTCCATGTGCCCATCTTCAGCATATATCTCTACCTGTCAGAACCGAGGAAAGCGAAGGCGGCTCGTGCATTCGAGGCAGGGCCTCGGCAAATTCAGAAGCTCAGGCCATTTCAGAGGGAACGGAGCCGAGACAAGGCTCTAAAGGGCTTAGGAGTGCGTCAACAAACACACTGAACCAAAATTGTTGGAAGCCCCGCATCCAGGATCCCAGAACCGCAAACACCCAGAAGTCAAGCCCCAATGCCTGAAAGCATGAAAAGCACCACATGTCCCAACCACAGGTTTTGGGCCAGGAGGTTTTGTCCCCTCTGATCGTGGAGACTTGCCGCAGCGCAGCAGAGGTGGCATGGCTGAGTTCAGGGCTGTACGTCTTGGCTCGGTGTTTGGGGTTTGGGGTTTGTTTCGGGGTTAAAACACAGTTCAGGGTTTGGGCAACGCGGCACGTTCCCGGCTATCTCAGCCTTGCCCATCGCCAAAATCCAGAGGCAGCCAGAAATACAGGCACTGGGCCTAGAATTTCATAGCACCGGCAAGCGACAGAAACACCATTCAGTGAGGCGCTGTCTTGTAGCCGTCGTCCATGTCAAAGCTATCGCTGTGTGGAGATCTGAGCCCGCCTCAATAACCTGCTCAATCGAATCTGCAAACCCAACCCACCAAACCGTCCCAATGGCCCTCGGACCCTAGACTCCCTAGACCGCACAGCGGCCATCCCAGGTAGTAGCTTCTCTTCCAGAGCTTCCTGCCTGGGAATCCCTGCGAACGGCCAAGGCCGCAGTAGACAAGGCCGAGCTCGCTGTTTAAATATGGAGGTCGCAGTACTTCTGGGTTCAGGGTCTGATTTGGGCCCGTTCTTTTTTTACCATATCTTTACACGGGTGAGAAGTCATAACTCCGCCTTTGATTGCAGGCCTTCGTCTATCCCCTTGGTAACACAGCCTTGTTCGTCTAGACTCCCGAAACAATCGCAGCAAACAGCCCGAAATCCTCTTCTCGGTATTTGCATGATTGGTCTCTAAACGAGCCTGCTTTCAGGGTCGGTACCATGGGGATCCAGCATCCAACGCAGGTCCCTAACGCCAAGTCAGGAAGCTACCGTAGGCAGGCCTTACTATTTACTGAAATGGAGAGGATCCTTGTTACCAGCACCCCTCAAACCAGGCATCCCTACGACTCGAAGAGAGCCCCCCAAAGGCACCCCCCCCCTTCACGCTCCTCACGCCGGAGAGGCCCGAGCGCCCGACGATGCGAAGAGCTCCGCCCTCCGACTCGAGCGCTGCATCCATCAGCTCCAGGCCGCGACGCAGCAGGCGCCGCGGCGGAGCATGGACGGAGAGGGATGTGGGGATTTTACGGTAGGGCATGCAGGGTTTGGGGTGTTATTGCTAAACTCTGGCTTGTAGGAAGTTGCTTTTGCCGGGCGACGAGTATCATGTTGACAGCGTTCTGTATCCATTTCGTCTTGCCACGTTTTTTTTTGAAGTCAAGACAGTGGCTTCAGTGAACAGTCAAAGTATTGAAGTTCTAAGAGTCCACGACTACCCGACTACCCCAAGACCGAAAACCAGACCTGACACGTCCGAAAAGGTGGTTCGGCGTTCGGCGCTGGAGAGCCTGCACGGCATCATTCAGGAGCAGCGCCAGGTGCCACGATGAAGCAAGTCAGCATCACAGCCATGACCAAGGCCTCAGAGTCCCGCGCCAAGACTCTTATGATAGCAATCCTGTTGTTGCAGTCGCCCTGGCTACCGGTACCTACCACCGGCACGATCTTGGGCCCCTCTGTGTCAGACGAAGTCGATCGGCATCGGTAGCCCCCCCCCCCTTGCACATCAACATCTGAAGCCCGAAGCCCCTGTCTACAAAGGTCCAGACAGCCTTTTAGCACCGAAGAGGCCCTTAGAAGCCTACAGGCGCCCTGCGCGGCCGAGCTGCCAAAGCCAACGCTGGCCCGGCTCCTGCGAGCCTTGCTGAAGCCGCCCAGTGCGAAGAAAGGGAGGGCCGGATAACTCCGGATAACTAGGTGAACTTAATGTGCAGTGCCACCCGAGGCCCTTATGCATGTCATGTTTGCCCTAGTCCGCTTATTTAGTCCACAGATGTGATTCCAACCTGTCTTCTGTGCCTTCCAATGCAGTGGAAACTATTTCTCACGAGTTGTGCAACTATTGTCTTGAGGGCTTCGTGCGGACCCGCGCGAGCCGTAAGTCCCGAGCCTGCAAAGTCAGAGAAAACGGAGAAGTCGCTCAGATTTCTCTGGGAATCGTCGTCTTCACCAGGCCAGGAGCCCTTCTTGCAGCGAAGTGTCGTGGTCGGACGGAGCCATAGGCAAAAGAAGAATGCAGTTGAGGTGGTGGTATCGGTTTCGGGCTTTGCTTAGAGGGTTCGGAGTATTCAGAGTCCAGGGCTTGCAGGGTTTAGGGTTCGGGACTGACCGCGCAAACAGAACAACAACCCTCAACCGAATTAAGCCGTCAGCTTCAAAGCGGAGGTTCAGAAACCCAGGACAAAAATCTAAGCCGCAAGTATTCGGGCCCTTCATGACAGCGGCATCACAAAGGCACAGCTACTTGTAGAAGAAGAAACCCAGCTCCTTCACCCCAAAGCCAAAAGTTCCACGATCCCCTCAGTCAAGCCTGAACCCCAAACTCTGAAGCCCTCGAATAAACCTCGCGAATAAACCCCTAAATCCCAACATCCTTGTGCCTGCAGGATCCCATAATGAAACTAGGATCTATGGCAACCTATGGCTTTATCGTCCCTTGTTTGTTGAACCCAAGTAGAAACACTAGACCGCGAAATCCTAAACAAGCCCCCATACCCTGTCGATTTGTAGTGAACCCTAAAACTATCAACCCAAACCTTGAAGCAAAGCAATGTTCCAGATGACCAGCTCCTTTGCGGGCAACTCCTGGGCTCCTTGGGCGCCATCGACCCAGCCCGGCTGTCTGGCCAGGTTCACCGGAATCCTGCTCCCTTTCCATACTGGGGTTTATAGGGTTTAAGGTGAGGCCTGAAACCTTCACATAAAATCTAAACCATAGGTGTAGTGGTCTTTTGTTTCCGGAATATCCCGAAGGCTTCCCGGATCTGTTTGTCCAGAACTCTCGTCTGACATTTTTGGGGGTCTTTCGTAGGTCTCATCACTTGGGTTGAATGGATTGGCTGCGGTTCAGGATCTGGGGTTCATCATCGGTACCGATGAGGGGAGATTGAAGTGAAGATAGTCGCTTGCAACAACCTCCATAGAAGGCTTATCACCATAAACGTCGGGATAGTGTTTTTGATCATTGAGAATGTTTTTTTGATATTTTAGAATAGAGTTTTTTGGATGCCTCACCCATAAACGTCTGGTTGGGGAAAGTCAGGGAGAACCCTAGGCACTTGTCTCTAAACCTTGAGCAGCGGCAGCAACAAGGCACGGCTGAAGCTCGTTTGTCTGTTCTGTAGAGGTGCTGGTGGAGCGCCATAGCTCGGTGATGGACAGTCGCTCACCCAAAGGCGCGATCTGGGGGCTAGAAGATAGGATTTAGGTGCGGGTTTTGGGTTCGGGACCTGATGACCTGATGCAAAAGACGATCGCTTTGCAAAAATAGTAGGCGCCCGAGGTTGGAAAGCAGTCAGGGCACGGAACCTCACGCTTAAGCTTCCGTTGGTTTTTTCAACACATCCGATGGTGCCTAGAACCAGATCATGAACGTCTCCTGATGTGCACCTCTTAATTACTTCACCGCGCAGCTTATGAAGGCCGGAGCTCCTTCTTCAATCATATTGTTGGTATGCATACAGATAGGCAGTTTCATGCACATAATCATACATATATAATCATATATATATATATGTTATATGTATAAATATCCGTGTCAATATATACACATACATATGTATGCAAACATATAGAGATTTCGTGGACAGGTGCATGTGTTTTATGACACCTTGACATGTTGATCGCTTTTTACGCCAGGTGACATTGACTTGGCCAAGACCGTGCTGGAAGAGTTCCTCGCTCCGAACCTGACCAGTAACAACTACGCCTTCGCCGCGCAGGAGCGGACATTAGAGGGAAAAGGGTTCCACGGTCTGAAGATTTAGGGTTTGAGGCGAGGCTTCAGAGTTTCAGGGTTTATGATATACGATTCAGGGTGACACCCTACGCAGTACTGCTTTGGGGTTCATAGTTTAAGCATGACCTGGCGGAACAACGTCGTGCATTAGTCGTGCGTTGTGCTTAGAAAGCTGAGTCAGAGACGGCATGGGAAAGCTGTTTGCTGCATAATATGTCTGTATATAAATAATACACAGGTGTTTGAATGCATGTAAACACGTGCGGGCTAATTTGTTGCACGTAAATAAAAACGCGAAATAGACACACGCAGATGATATGCATGTGTGTACATGTGCTCATGTTTCTATACAGATGCATGCGGCATGCATACCTGCCAAGGTACTCACATGCATACTTACATGCATGTATACACAAAGATACATAGATATATTGTACACATACATAGATAATCGATATATATATATATATATACATACATCTATATGCATGCACACATACATCAGTGTATACGCACATACACACACGCATACATGCATACATACATACAGACAGACATACATTCAGACATACATGTACGCATGCATACATACATACCTTTGTATATATGTATATATACACACACACGTACGTACAGTTCGCACATACGCGCATACATGCATAGACGCATGCACAACCACCTGCTTCACGATATGTTATGTTACCCCACCTTACGTACCCTACCTTACCCTCCCATACCAAACCTTGCATTACGTTCCATCAGATTTCGTACGCACATGCATGCATACATCTACATCGAAATACATCTTTATTCTGCAATCTTGCATTCATGCATGCTTGTATGTGCACATGTCTCATTTTGTGACGCCTGTGCTGCCATGTAGATGGGACCCATTCTGGGTCATGTTTGTGCCTCAGCTCAACAAGGGAAAATGGAGAGTTGCGGCCTCCGAGGACACTACGCAACACGGTAACCGTGCTACTAGTAGCAAGAACGCCGCTGAGGTCATCTTCGTCAGTTTCTGAAGTAGCCCCGATAGAACTGCAAGACCATCGTCCGAGACGCCAGGAAATCTTCCGGTACTTGAAGCCCGGTGGGAAAGACCAGCAGCTCTTGCTGAAGCTGGAGCGTGAGGACTGACATCATTCCAACCCAGACACAAGACTCGGGCATCGATGCAGCAATCGTTCTTGTTACTCCGGTGGTCCGTGGTCCTCCGATTCCGGTTCAGATGTAGACGCAGGATTTTGTCCGTCAGCAGTATGGAAGGAGCCATAAATACCACCTACCCCGTTGCGGCCATTCGAGTGATTTCGGCCTGCCGCGAGGATGTGCGAGAGACCCTGCGCCCTTACATGAGCAGCTCCTACGAGTGTCTCGGCAACTGGGGGTCGTTTTTGGGGCCTTGCCGAGCAATTCAAGGGGGAAGTCGCCTACTGAAAGCTCCACACGGCCGCAAACCCTCAACCTCAACCCTAAATCCCTCCATAAGCACCTTGAATTTAAGTTGCAAGGCGCGTGAGTGCCACAGCGAGGGCGGCGAGCCAGGGCCCTGCGACCTTCGAAGGCGATTGGACGAAGGGAGGTTTCTCTTTTTCGTGGCCCGAGTTGCTGGGATTTGTGTGGCTACTTGTCGTATCTGCATCCTGTTGTCGCCGCTACACTTCCTCTGCAAAGGGCAAGTGCAAATATAACAGCAATCTTCCTTCTCATCATCGGGCCAGTTTTGTGCATTGTTCGGTTATGAAGAGGATGGTTGTTCCACATGCAATGGCTGGCGGACGATGCTCCTCCTGCATCCGATGTCTCGCCAGTGCTATTTGCGCTTGTCCTGGAACTTGGGCTTCATGAGTTGAAGTGGGTTGTTTGCGATTCCCCTTTCGGGTAGACTCTGGCGATGTTTCCGCCCTTTGCAACCGTGAACAGGCCACAACAGCTACATCCATCATGGTTATAGTCCCCGGATTCATGCACGAAGGGCAATTCCCAAACGATGTTGAACACTACCAAGTACTAGCCATTACTAGCCTGGCCCCGGCCATCCTGCCTACATCCCGAACCCAAAGACCTGAACCCTCAACCCCAAGCCTCCAACTCCCAAGCCCGCTCTTGCAGATGCGCTGGTGGCTGCTTCCAGCCTTTTGCCGGCTGAGCGGCGGGCATTCTTCGAGGAGACCATGATCAAAGACTGTCAGTTTAAGGTTTAAGAAAGCGCAAGGTTGAAAGAAAGGTTCGGTGCTTTGTGATCATCATCGCAATAGCAGCAAATGAGAGGAATAGCTGTGTTCGTATACTTGAAACTGATGGTATCTGCATGCCAACCTCAAGCAGAAATCACACGAAGAACTAAGTCAAGCTGACAGTCTCTGCTGCCGCCTTGGCTGCTATTGCTGATGCTGCTACCACGGTGAGTACGTCAAAGACCGTCACTCTCAAGGTCAATCAGTGGCAACAGCGTACAGTAAGTAGAAGCGGCGTGCGAAATGCTTGTTGGCAGTCAATCATCCACACGGTGCTTCATGTTTCTCATTGGAAACCAGTGATGCAATTCTCGCCTGCCAACAGCGAGACTATTTTGGAAGCACCACCAACATCCAGGCATGCTTGCCTGCCATACCCGGCAACCATGCGCTCACCCTGTTTCTCATGCACCAGGCGCATGAGCAAGAGTTGAATTTCCGTTCTGCTGTCTGGGTACAAGCGGTGCAGGGATTCCTTCTTGACCCGATGAGGAGTCGTCATGTCGGGCAGCCTGCCTAAAGCCATTGAAGCTCTCCTAGAGCCCGCTTGTCCAACATTCCCAGGTGCTTCCGGACCTCCTGGCGGGCCCCAAAACCGACGAGGCGGAGCTGTCGGCTCTGGCCACGCGGCTCAGCGGGCTGCTGAGGCTGGAGGAAGGCAGGCCGGTTTTCAGGGAGTTCAGGGAGGGCTTTGTGGGGCTTTAAGGAGTTGTTGGTGGCTTTCAGGGTTTCGGGTTGGGTATTGTCGGGCTTTGATGAAGGCAGCGGAAGGGAGGGGGCTTCGAGAGGGTCTTGGAGGGCCTAGAAAGTCGAAGCCCAGCCCGAAAGCCCTTGAAATTGCACCTTATATCACCCCGAACCACACTCCGCAAACCCCTAACACCACTATTAAGGTCTTGGGCCCATACCCCGAAGCCCGGACCACGAAGCTGCAGGTGTTCGTCTGGAGCCCAGGCACTCAGCCACAGCGCAAGCGGCACCTTTGCGGCAAACGAGTCCAAGCAATATCGGAGCTTAAATCAGAGGTTCCAACAGTAACAAGACTCGAACCAACATGTGTCCAGTAGGGTTTCTTCGAGGTCGTCTTCCGAGTATTTAGCGCCCCACCACATTGCTGCAGCATAAGGTGTCACGGCCGTGAATAGCTGTGCTCATCTTATTGATGATGCTGGGTGGTTGTAGTGGCATCGTCAGTGGGATTATAAACATACTACGTATGTCAGCTGTGCTGACCCATGTGCACATTCTGTGGTTGATCCTTCCGAATCCTTCCGCCAGCCTTGCTTCGGCTATCTTTGTCGTTGTGCTTATTGTGTTCATTGCTTTGCTCTTCGCCGTTTGTGTTAGTTCTCTTCTTACTTCAATTATGCTTGTTGTTGGTCTGGTCTGAATAGTGATGATGCGCATGGCCATCCGAGCTCTGCGTGTGTGCCATACTGGCTAAGTCTGTGCCGCGCAATTTGCCAGTTGTTGGTTTACGCCCATTGCCCATATTTCCTCGCCGCAGCTGCTTCTTTGAGCTTGATAGCATTGAACTGGTAATTTCTTTCGTTTCTTGTTGTCTTGATTATGTTACTTCTTGTTGTTATGGTCATTGTTCCCACTTTTTGCGTCGCCATAGTTGATGGTACTGTTATTCCTTCTTGAATCGTTGTTTCTGGGACGATACATCCGAGGTATTCTCGCTGCTGGACGATCTGTACCAGCGTCAGGCAAGGCACCCGATTTACGTTCAGTGAGTTCTTTTAGATTGAGAAGAATTAGCATGTGGCGAGAGTTTCATCAAGGATCCGGAGATGGACACCTTGAAACACGCCTTCTCTGAACCCATGCAGTAGTCGGATCATCCTTTTGGAGTGTCCAAAAACATGGTTCCTATTTCTTTGCTGAAACTCCCATCTACAGGATTTTTGCTTTAGCCATCAGCAGCTTCTTGTTGCTAAATTCGCGAGCTACTCCGCAATTTTCAGGGTATTGGGTCCCTTGACCCTGAACCCCTAAAACCTAAACC